AAATGATGGTCTTTATTTGATTTTATAGTACTGTTATCCCTTTGTTGAGGGGGCTGGATGGTTACTGTGCCACTTCACCCTTCTAGTCTTACTGCGAACGTCATACTCCAATATCCCTTATCACGCGGCTCATCTCACATCAAAAGCCAGGATCCCGGGGAGCCCCCTTTGATCGATCCGAGTAGGCGTTTTATGATTCGCACTGAGGACTGCTTTTAAATTTTTCAACTGAAATATGTATGACCTGGTTTGTTGTAGATTATTTGATGCACCCATTTGATGCTTGGTTATTGGCTCAGGGTGGAAAACAGATTAGGAAAATTATGGCACAAGACGCATTTAAGGATATTATCTTGGACGAACAATACCCTGGACCGTCTGTCCAAACCCAAGAGCAGTGGGAAGAGAGCATCAGGAAGAGAGCGTCGACTTCGTGTCAGTGATTTAACCGTGAATAGGAGTAATCATACCAAAACTCAAGATTTTTTTTTCTTTAATAGATCACCCAATCGGAACTTGTTCGATGCTGCCCCAGAGTGAATCTGGGGTTGTCGATCCCCAGCTGAGGGTATACGGTACCCAAAATTTAAGAGTCGTGGATGCTAGGTGAGTGGCCATATCCCACAAAAAAAACCAAGGCCAAAGCGGTGACAAAACACGGTTGTTCACTTTGTTTTTACTCTGTTTCTGTTAGTATTTTGCCAGTCCAGCTTACCAGCCATCCAGCAATGACAGTCTATGCAATCGCAGAAAAAGCAGCTGAAATGATCCTGAACCAGTGATTGTAATGGATCTAATCGCGTTCCCGAAATTGTTCAGGTTCCTCTTTCTCAGGAAAATGAATTAAGCCATAAATTTTCTTTCAAAGCAGTTATGAAGTGAATTTCAATGTATTATAATACATGCTTGTCCAAGCTTCTTGTTGGAAATGGACAAGAGTGATTGGAACAACCGCAACCAGTCCCAAGTACACAAAAGTTACTAAAAGAGGAGGCGTGAAGGGAGTGGGATGCTTGCATGGCCGATTTTGTTTTCCGTGCTAGTCACTGTTGGGGCTGCCTAACAGTTCGCAATGTCAATGCTATAACCTCGGTTTCTTTCGGTGTCTCTTTTCTGCGAGGCGCGTTGATGCTTAGAAATTTGTGCAGAACTTGTATCTGCCATGGTTTCGAGAGATGCCTTGAGCGACTTCCATGTATGCTACTAGAATGAGAGAGAGAGAGTGTGTGTGTGTGGAGAAATGAAGGGCATTGCTGGCGTCACAGGTTGATGGTCAACAGGGTGAGAGTCGCGTGCAGTGGTGGACTGAAGGCTCCAGGAGTCCAGAGGAGGTCATCCACCCAGAACCACCTCGAGTCTATCACCAGGAAGACCACGCTTGAAGGTTGGACTACATCGAAGAGCTCGATAACCACAAATAACGCTGATCGACCGTTCGAATAGACCTGAGCGAAATAACCATGGCGGATGACGAGAGCTTGCTCAAGTTTTTTGCCGAGGAACGACAGTTTTTTGATGTCCTGGAGCATTATCTCGATCAGATTGATGATCGACCTGGTGCCAATCTGAAAGAGCCGCTGCCTGAGATCTTTTCGAACAACCCGTTCGGTTACTTGACTCTACTCGTAAGTAGTACTTCCAGATATGATCTCATCTTTGGTGAAAGAACTTACCAGAATGCTAACCCCTCGTCTGTTTTGTTGTTGTTATTGTTGCTTCGGAATCCGAATCTCGACCGACAGTTAGATCGTTATCAGGAGCAGCCTTACCTTTTGGATCCCCACCTCGAACGCATGGTACAACCTATCATCCTACGTCTGAGACAATGGCTGGAATATCTGCAGCAGCATTCAGCTGAATTTGAAGAACCTCCGACCGATTCAACCGAGACTCTGAGCATCGAACAACTATCACAAAAATTAGAAAAGCTTTCGCATCTGCTATATTTCGTCGTCAAAGTTAGAGGTTACAAGACAATCGGTGTGTTTAAAAAAACGTTCATTTCGTCATATAATTATTTTATCATCCACTGATTCAATATCAATCTTCTTTGTTCATAGTTCGCTTCTTCCCTCATCAAGTCCAAGACCTATCTATCGTAATATCCACTTTTGGTCTGGTTCTTCCAAAGTTGGATAGCGCACCCAGTAAAATAGTGGAAACATTCTCGGATGCTCTTTTATGGCACTTCCGCTACATCCTGCTGCTATGGCTCTCTCTCATCTGCATGATCCCCTTCGATCTTTCGCGATTCGATAAACTTTCAACACTGCAAGCTCAAAAAATCTCGACTTATCAATATGTCGAAAAAGTCGGTTGGTCTTATCTCAGTCTTCCGGGGAAAGAGAGAGAGGCAGCTGCCTTGGTGTTGGCAAGATTGATGTTGAGGTGGGTCTCCTATACTTCTCTTTCCTGCCAATGTTTTCTCTCATGGAAAAGTGAATATCAATTCAAATTTCCCGCAGGGAAGACGTTTTCCGCTCACATCTACTTGCGTTTGTGGAGAAATGTCTTGACAATCTCCGGGTAGCTGGAGAACACGATCTATTTCTGGTCAGATATCAATGAATATCCATCATGCCACAAAAGGTTTCTGAATCTGATTTTTGCTTTTTGTTTGTTTTGTTTTCAACAGGCTACTGGCATAGCTCAAGTCCTATGTATCCTTGTAGAGTTAGCTAGGCCTCCACAATTATTGGGTGTATTGCCCCTCCTCCACCAAGCGCTTCTGGAAACAAGCAAATTACCTTACATTTCAGCTAGTATCAACCTACGAAAACTTAGGGCCAAGCTGGCTGGAAGAGTGGCTTTGGTCATACCGGTTAGCCCGCAGGGCTCGTCCGACAACGAAGATGAGCAAGTGCCGGAATCTATTGAAATAATCGTCCAAGATTTATTGGATTGCCTTCAAGATAAAGTACGGAACTCCAGCATCAATGAGCCAGATCGGTTAAATTGTTCGAATTTTAATCTAAATTTAACTTTTCTTTATGAACCCCAATAGGATACAGTTGTGCGTTGGTCGGGAGCAAAGTATCTAGCAAAAATCGGGAGACGACTTCCAGAGGCCTTTTCGATCCAGATATGTGACGCTATCCTAGAGCTGTTTAGCCTGAAAACCGTTGAAGAACAAAAGGGCGGGATCGATCTGTTGTCGGTGAACGATTACACCTGGCAGGGTGCTTGCTTGGCTTGCGCAGAATTTCTTCGTCAAAAATGTTTTCCGGTCTCGCGTCTTGAAAGTTTGATTGAATGGGTTGTTCGAGTTAAGTGTATCTCTCTCTCTTCTCGTTCGCTTGTCCATCGGCCCAATTCAAACGGCTTGCAATGATTCCGTATACGATATTAGGCTTTGCATTTCGAGCAACGCAAGGGAGTCCAAAGCATAGGCTCAGGCGTCCGAGATGCTGCAGCTTTCGTCTTGTGGTCTTTTGGTAGAGCCTTTTCCTCAGCTGAAGTAGAGCCTTTCGCCAATCAAATAGCTATACAACTGGTTCTGCAATCGCTGTTTGATCGAGAAGTGCACGTTCGCAGGGCCGGCAGTGCAGCCTTTCAAGAAAACGTCGGAAGACTTGTTAGTTTTTCATACCAGTCCCCATACATAATTTGATGATCCAACTAGATTACCCGTACATCACCCTTTAGGGAATATTTCCTCATGGAATCGATGTCCTTCAGCGGGCGGATTTCTTTACGGTCGGACTTCGAAGATCATCCTTTTTGAAAGCGGCTCCCGAGGTTGCAAGGTATTTCAGTTCCTCTTTCTCCTTCTTTAACTGGCCTTTAGTTGAAAGAGGACGATTGTAGGTTCGAAGAGTACCGGGAGGCCATTTTGAATCATTTACTCGAAGTATGTGTTTGCCATTGGGATGGTGGCGTGCGCGAACTGGCTTCTCAATCGATCTGCCAGATAGCTCGAGACGCCTTCAATCAAATCCCTACGGTTTTATTGGATAGGCTTGTGAGCATTCCGCTTCTCGTCTAGTTTCTCAGTACCTTTGATGTGATCAAACCTTATCCGACTCACTCGGTAACCATCCAGGAATCAGGTCTAAAATCCAAAGATATCAATCAAGTACATGGTTCTCTACTCACCTTGGGTGAGTTAGCCAAAGTTGTCCAGTCCGATAAAACGGAGAACGCTACTATCAAATTACTTGAAAAGGTGAGTTCGCCTTTATCTTTAAATTGCTTCAACGCGTTCTAAGCCTGCTTCCAGCCTTGAGGTGCTGATTCAAGAATGGCATGGTGTTTGATTGGCTGAATCTTCAGATCTTTCAGTTAGTCACTGGCGTCCTGCATTCTAACTTGAAACCTCGCCAATTAGAAGTCTTATTGGAAGCAATCTGCCAAGCTCTTGCCAACACTTTACCCGATTGCCCACGACTTTGTGAAAATTTTATCAAAAGTCCTGCTTGGATGCAGCTTGTGGATATTGGTCTGAAGCGTTCTGATGACAACTTACATTGCTCGCTGCAAAGCGTGTTACATCAAGTCTCCCTTCGTGGTGTCGGGGTACAGCAAATACAGTTAGTTGCGCACCTCCACTTTTCTTATATTCTTGCGTCATCAAGCATCGATTTTCAACCTTATCATCAGAAACTGATCTTGATTGAAGCGCAATGATTGATCCAATTTTCTTTCTTTCTTTTGTCATGCTTCTCTAAAGGTTTTTCTCAAAGGCTCTAACAAGCGGTTTAGTAGTTGCTAGACAAGCTTCCGCGCGATGTTTGGGTGGATTTGTGTTTTCCTCGGGAGCACTTCAAGTGTCCTTCCAGTCTACCTTTGACTTGTTGATCGCTTGTACAGAGGAAAAGGTAGGACTCCTGTGATGTGAAAATTACTGGTTGACTGACTCACTGATATATACCCCCTCTCAATGGAATAAAGGCCTCAGGGTTGCCAGAACCAATTGAAGTTATCAGGAACTGTATCGAATCTCTCGTTTCAATTGTGGCGAGCTTTGGGGACCAATTCCATACTTGTGGGTCACTTTGATCTCTTCCCCTCCGCCTAATCACATAATCGCCGCTCCAAATAATGACTTGAGTATCACTTATGGTTGGAAAGTCTGCACTCAAGAACAGTTTTCGAAGCTTTTGACGGTTTTTGTAAATGGATTGTTTAACTATACTAATGATCAAAGAGGGGATGTCGGATCTTGGGTGCGAGCATCAAGCCTCAAAAGTCTCGATCAAATCATCTATTTATACACCAAATCACTGGAATCAATTGAAGCGCGCAAAAATAATCACAACATCCATATTGATGGTAGAAGCCCACTAGAACTCGATATACACGACAGGGCACTGGAACCAAGTGAAGCTCATGAAAATACTCACAAAATCCATCATGACCGGATAATTCCTCTCAAACTCGAACAACGCTTCTTGATCAGTCACATCTTCAGTGGAGTTTTGAGACAGTCTTTGGATTCGATCGATTCGGTTAGACAACTTGCCTGGCAAACCATGGCTAAGATTTTAGTCTACCTGTCGAGTTCGAAATTTCTTCAGATTGATAAAGATATTTTGGTTTTGTTGCAATCGGCTTTTGATCGGTTCAGTCGTCTTCTCTGCTCCATACTTTTTCCCTACTCCCGCCTTTTGCTGCATCTCCCCCGCATTGTATTTCGGCAGTTTTACTAACCTGAGCTCAATCTCTCATTGCATCATCATCTCAGACGGAATTCTGAACATTGGAGAGAACTCAAATGGACTTTCCCAAACTCCGTAGATTTATTGACTCAGCTGATCAAAAGACATTTGCAATGTGCATTTCCGTCAAACGAGTTCATCGAATTTTCCATCTCACTTTCGGAGTCGCTATTACAAGGTATCATAATCTTGATTGGGGGCAAAGGTAATAATGACGTGAGTCAATCCTTCCCTGTTCCGGACTTCACATCTCTCAGTTCTCATAATCATTAGCACCGGATGATGAATCCAATTCATATGCTGACTATATGCACCCTTCTATAAACTTATATATCAACGAGCAGGCCAAGAAAGCAGCTGCTTCATTTGTCGAACACATTGGTAAAATTGGAGAGTCTAATCCCTCAATCTCAGTGGAGGTCGTTCGAAGAATTTTAAAATTAACATCAACCCGGCCGAGCGGATCGAGAAATTTTGGATTGTGTTGTTGGGAGACGATTTCCCTGTTACTCGAAACGGATGCCTTGAAGCCTCTTGAGCAACATGGCGATGGTCGAAAACTGTGAGTTTTTTCGTTTGACTTTTTGACTTCCATTAGTAGATTGCTTGAGTTGACCATGTGTCTTGTTTCTCGTCACGCAAGACTCCAATCTATCCTCCACATGGTCACTCGTAATTTAAATCAACCCAAGGTTTCTGTGAATCGAGTCTTGACTGGCTCGAAAATGTTGCGTTCTTTTATGGCTCTCGAGTCTTCGCATCAACGTCTGACGAGTTCCTTGAACTTCTTCTAGTGTCATCCATCTTACGTTGTTCAAAAGCGCACGGCCTGAGGCAGTCCCCTATTTGACGAGCTATCTTTCTTACAATTCACCAAGAGTGCGTGCAGAACTTGATACAATCATGACATTATACATTTTTTTTTGTTTCTCAGGCACTACTTGACAAGTTTAGGTACGAATATCGACGGCCGA